CCTCAATACGGGTCGGGCCGCTTCCCCAAATGGGCAACAGAAGCGGAAGGTGGTACTTAAAGAGACAGAGTCCAATTTCAAGGCGTTTAGAAGATGAAGTGATGAGAAGACAAGTTTATTTTCTATTTAAACATAAAAACAGCATTTTAATAACAACTAAAGGTGACATAGATATTTTATTATGGTATAGTATTTAAATGTATGCCTGAGAAACACATAATATTGCCCCTTTAATAACTCTCCACTCTGCCATTTTGTTTTACTGACCACTCTTGAATAATGACAAATGAAACCAAAATTATACAGCGTGTGTCTAGATAGAGAATATGAAACTCTTAGTGATATTGACAAAATCTGTTTGTATGTAAGACTTTTGGCTGTTAGTGACTTGAAGGTTTTGGAGGTTTTATTTAATTAATAATCTGCAGTTTGACAATTGCACTTGGTAAGACTTCTTGAAGTAAAAAAAAACTTTTCAGATTAACAAGATTAATAATCCAACATATTCGGATCTTGTTCAGTATATTGGTCTAAAAACAAGATCAAAAATACTTTTTAGCTGATATAAGACTGTACAACCTGGTTAGAGGAACATTTTAGTAAAATGACTGTCTACTGCACAAAAARAACAGATTAAATAAGCTTCACTTTAAACCTGGTCGGGACCAGGTTAGTTTCAGAGCACTTATTATTACGGAAACACAAGTGCTTCGTAGCTCATGCAACTGATTCAAGACTTAATTAATTCAAGTTTACACCAAAATCCCGGGTTAATCCCTAATTGTGCAATAGGCCTCAGGTGTGCGAGGGCGGGGCAGCCGAGCAGAGAAACACGGGAAACACTGAAACACTAGGAAAACCAAAAATAAACACAGACTATGACACACTACTTATTAGCAGGTGTGTTGAGCCCTGAGAGCCAGGACCGAACATCATTGGGTTAAAGCAGGGGTGTCCAATCAAGGTCCTCAAGGGCCACGGTCGTACAAGTTTCCCTGCTTCAACACATCTGATTTGAACAATTAACATGTTCATGAAGTTTGCTTTTATGCACTTCGATGTAAACAGCATAAGAGTTGTGTACTTAAGATATACACGAAGAAAACAAAAGCTTAGATTGTACATAGTATGTGTGTGAGCTGCAGCTCAGCAAAWCAAATTYACCAGATTTAACAAAATGGAAAATTATAGTTTAAAGAAGGCTATTTTTGCAGCTACATTTTTTTTGAACTGTGCAATATAGAGATGCCACGGCCTGTGTCTGTATGAGTGTTTTTATTTTGCTTACTCTTCTGGTTTTCTGTCCTGTATTTCTGTTTTCTTCCTCCTGCCTGTCTTTGCTCCAGTCCCACCCAGTCTCACCTGCTGCTCGTGTTTCTCTCCCAGGTGTTTCTTGTTCTAGTTCATTAGTTCTCCTTTATATTCTGTCTTGTGTCCTTAGTCTGTGTCAGAGTTTTGTTGTTCCTGGTCATGTCCAAGCCTAAGTATCTTGTTTGCTGCCATGCCAGCCTTTTGATTTTGTTTAATGAAGCCTTTTCTGCCTTTTTTGCCAAGATCATTTTAGTTCTGCACTTGGGGTTCTAACATACCATGTTGTTTACTTACTTTTTAAATTTAGCTGCATGTTTCATAACAATTTGTATTAAATGCAAATTTAAAAAAGAGCACGCAGTTTAACATGTAACCGCAACATTGTTTAAAAAGAAAGACCCGAAAGGACTTGAAATTTCAAGTTTCAGACTTGTGACTTGACTTGACAGTTGCCTGTCTTGACTTGAGACTTGACTCGGGACTTGAAGATAAAGACTTGAGACTTACTTGAGACTTACAAAACAATGGGCCTCATGCAAGAACCGTTCGTACGCACAGATTTTTTTCTTCAATTGTGCGTACGAGTGATTTAGGAGAATTTGTGGCATTCACCAATGTTTTCGTATTCTAAGATTTTTTTCAGATACGAACAAAATTCACGAGT